CAGCCTCCCCGGGGACCCCGACAGCCCCTCCCCCCGGGGTCCCCGACAGCCCCTCCCCGGGGTCCCTGTCAGCCCCTCCCCCCGGGGTCCCCGACAGCCTCCCCGGGAGCCCCGACAGCCCCTCCCCTCGGGGTCCCCGACAGCCCCTCCCCGGGGTCCCTGTCAGTCCCCCGGGGTCCTCGCCGCCCCCCCCCGGGGTCTCCGACAGCCCCTCCCCGGGATCCCCATCCCCCCAGGGTCTCCACTCCCCCCCCCGGGTTCCCCGCCACCCTCCCCCCAGGGTTCCTGTCAGCCTCCCCGCCGGGGTTCCCGCAAACCCAGCCCGGCGTTCCCACCACCAGCCGCCCCTCACCTCCGGAGCCGCGCTGCCTGCTCCGGGGCCGCTAGGCGAGGGCAGAGCTGCAAGCGAGGGCGCCAATAAAGTTGTTGAAATTGAAGCCGCGCCCCGGAGAGCGGTATGGGATTCCTCCTAAAATGGCTACAAGGCCGGCGGCGCGGGGCCCGCCCCACCTCCCGCCTCCCCCGCCCCCGGCGCTCCCGTGCAGCCACCCCGCGGCCCGCCGCTCTAGCCGCCGTTACCTCGATGGTGCCTAAGCGCATGCGTCCCCCGGAGGGGCGGGGCCTGGGTGCCGGCAGCGCAAGGGGGGTGGGACGGAGGCGAAACCTTGGTAGGGCCGGTTGTGCGCGCGGGGCGGGACGAGGGCGTGGCCTAGGTGCAGGCAGCGCGCGACGGACGGGAAGAGCACGGGGCCTAGGCAGTGTGCAAAGGGGCGGGAAGGGGGCGGGGCCTTGGAGACGGCTGCGCGCGGGGCGGGATGAGGGCGTGGTCTAGGTGCAGGCGGCGCACGAAGGGGCGGGGAACGGGCGGGCCCTTGCTCTGGGTTGAGCGCGGGGCGGAGCGGGGCCTAGAGCCCGCAATGTGCGGGGGTGGGATGAGGGCGTGGACGAGGGCGGGACCTGGGTGACAGCTACGCAGGGCGGGACGAGGGCGGGGCCTGGGCCCGGCTGTCTGTTGGTGCGCCCTTGTCCCTGCTCCTGTCCCCTCCGACCCCCTCCTGTCCCGCTCCTTCCTCCCTGCTCTCCTCCCTTCTCCCCTCTCCCCCACTCCAGCGCACACTCGCTCCTTACTTCCGTGTCCCGGGAAGGTGCTGGTAGAGCTAAGACAATCTAGGGTTGGGAGGACCAGGGACTGGAAGCTTGTTAGCAAAGAATCCCCTGCGTGGAGACACCCAATGACAAGGAAGCATCGAACTGTGACAAGTTCTGCCTTGGCAGCTGCTAAGGAGTGGATCCAGACCCGTGCGTGTGCGTGCGTGTGTGTGTGCGCGTGCGTGCCAAGACTGCGGCTTCAGCCCTTTGGCTCAGGTTCGGCGCTCGGCCCCTTCCGTCTCAGGCCGGACAGGGAGCGTCCAGGGCTTTGCTGTCCGGGGCTGACTTTGAATCGGGGTCCCCAGACCTCCGCCTCCGGGGTGGCTGGGCTTAGAAGGGTGAGCCTGCTGATTGACTCCGGCCCAGATTTTGCCCACACGGTGCGCAGAGGAAGCTGTTGGTACGCACCGGGAGAGAGTGCTGTTCATCGCCTTTCACTGGGATCCGCCAGTAGGCTTCCTGACCAGAGCAACTCGTCCTTGCTTGGAAGCTCGCTTCCATATTACTAAGTGTGAAAATGCACGTACCTCCAGCATCCACGGCTCTTTTCTTACTAGCTCGTTGTCTGGCTCTTAACCAAAGACAGTGTACAGGAAGAACATGTAATGTTACCACGGTGTGGCTCCAAATTCTGTATTGTCTGGGTATTTATTTGTGAGGAGTCTTAGCCCTCCCTTCATCCCAATGCCTTTCATCTTTCTTGTGGACTCTGGAGCAATTCTGCTTCTGTTTTCATGGGGGGGGGGCGGGGAAGCAAAGTGATTAGCTGATCTTGAGGAGGGGAGAAAGGTGTCTGAGGTTTGGGCAGACAGAAGCAATCATCTAGAAGAGTGAGACAGAGAACTGACTAGAAAACAAGAAAGACTGGCCTTTCTTGGGTCTACTTGGGTTTGGTGGTTATAGATTTGTCAAAGTGAAGTCAACATAGTGACATTTTTCTCTTCAACATATTTAGCAGTTTGGGTGCAGACCTATTTCAAAGGTGAATTTTGGTTAAACAGGTAGCTACAGTTAGGAGGCAGCAAAGTTGAGCCAGTAAGTGCACTGATGATGCTGGACCATGATTTAAAGCCAGGTGGACCAGAAATGAAGATCAAGCAGATTGGTGAAAAGCTCTGTGGAGTCAAAGAACCATCATCACTGGAGCTGTGAAGGGAAGGGATGGTTTGGGAGAGCAGAAGGTTTACACTGACATCATTTAGATATGACTGTGGTCATCCGTAGACAGTGGGAAGGAGATCATAAAATCATGAGGCTAAGAAGGCCATAGAACTGAAAGGTGAGGTGGTGGAGAGTGTTAAAGGTCTGTCTCAACCTTCATTTTCTTTTCCTTAGTAACAACTTTGATGTGTGTGCCTGTGTGTGTTTGTGTGTGTGTGTGTGTTTGTCAATACTTAGGCTTCACCTGAGTATCTAGGGCTACATCTGGGTGCCACTAGTCCCTGTGTCTGTTGGACATACATTCTCTTTTTTTTGGTCTGTCCTGGTACCTGAACTCGAGGCTGGGTACTGTCCTTCAGCTCTTCAGCTCAAGGCTAGTGCTCTACCACTTGCGCCACAGCGCCATTTCCAGCTTTTCTGCTTATGTGCTGCTGAGGAATTGAACCCAGGGTCTCATGCATGCAAGGAAAGCACTCTACCACTGAGCCACCTTCCCAGCCCAGACATACATTCTTCAGTGCAGTTTTTAGCACTTTTTATGGCACTAGAAAAATACATTCTAAAAAATCAGACCTACTTCAATTTGGAAAATGATACAATCGTCTATAAAATTGCAACAGCAAAATGTGATGGATGAGTGTTTGTATATTCTCATCTATACCTTTGGCTTTGTATCTTGAGTGATTTTGAGTTTAATATCTTGTTAACATGGGTTAGGGATGTAGCTCCAAGGAAGAGCACCTGCCTGGCAAGTGAAAGGCCCTGAGTTCAATCCTCAGCACACACACACACACACACACACACACACACACACACACACACAACCTTATTCACAGCTTACCTTCAGCTTGGTTTAGAAAGTAACCAATGATGTTTTGTGGCCTCACATATTATAAGCAGAATGAAAGACTTGAAGTAATTGAAAATTACGTACATACTCTAAACAGAAACCAGGGCATTGAGAGCAGCAGACAAAGAGCCCTGAGGGCAAAGCCCCCTTGGACAGAGGTTCTTTATCCCTCACTGTGGGGCTATTAGGCACCATGTTGTGGCTCCTGGGCATCACTTCAGGGCCAACTGTCCCAGGAAGCATGCCTGTGAGCAGCAGATTTATGGAGCCCCACATGTGGGGAACAGGCACAGAGTTGGAGCAGCTAAAGGGTGAGTAAAGAACCCACTGTTTGTCAGTGTATTTGTACTAATAGAATGCTGTCTTTAGTTTGTTCAGATCTAATTTGTAGCTACGTAATTCAGTCATCCCCAAATGCACAAACACTGCATCAAAGTGATTTGCCATCACGCACCTGCCTGGCATGGTAGTAGTGCATTTCCTCCTGGGACTCAGTACACCTGGCATCCATGCTTCTTTAACTTCTCCACAAAGTAAGAGCAGAGTGAAACTTAATTGGACAAGAGAACAGAATCACACTGGACCTAAAGGCAAGACCCTGATGTCTCTTTCATGTGCTGTGTTTTATAGACATTCATGAAAATCCAGTACAAGCTGAACACCCTGCCATTCATTGTCAATTCTAAGAAGATTCTTGTCATGTGGACTTTATTTCAGGAAGAATGGAAGAGAAATCACAGTGTAGACCTTACTACAATAGCTGACAGCTAAAATTTCCTGAGCTTATGTCTTGGGGAATACTCCTGTGAGGACTAAGAGATTACAATAAAATTTGGCTAACTAAAAAAAAGTCAAGTAGAGAGCCAAGCACTTGTAATCCTGACTACTCAGGAGAATGAGATCTGAAGATCAGGATTCAAACTCAGCCCAGGCAGAAATGCCAACGAGATTCTTCTTTCTAATTAACCACCAAAAGGCCAAAAGTGGAAGTATGGCTCAGTGGTAAAGCACTGGCCTTGAGCAAAAAGCCAAATGACAAGGTAAGATCTTGAGTTCAAACCCTAATACCAGCACACACAAAAAAGTAGAATGCAGTAGTAGGTGGTAGATTATCCAAATGACCCATTAGTCTAGAGTGCGGAAAACAGTTTCTTTATTAAGAGCATGAAGATAGCTGCTTAGAGAAAAGCAGTAAAAACTCACAAGTTCTTGGATATATCAGTGAAAAGCAAGTTAAAGGTCTTGAGTATCTACATGTCTTATCTGAAGTTACCTACAATTATTGTAAGATGATTATTTCTCTTATCTCTCGGCATACATACAATTAATTACAATATTAAAAACTACTAGAATAGAGCCTCTCATAGACAGTTATATTTTATAGGCACTGACTTAGGGTCCCCACTGAAACATTTGATGAACCATAACCATTTATTTATTCAGCACAAACCACATGTCAAACATGCTGGCTAGTACCTATAAAAGAAGACACAAAAAGAATCTGAGAGCAGATGCTAGAGGCTCACATTTATAATCAAAGCTATTCAGGAAGCTAATAGCTTAAGATCCTACTTAAAAGGCAGCCCACAGACAATTACTAGAGACTCTATCTCCAATTA